AACCAAACCCTGCTCTGATTCATTTGCACTGAGCTCGATCAACTAAAGTACACGGCTTTCCCCCTGATGTCTGCTGAAATCAGGCTCTGAAATTAAACTGAATTTCTAAAATAAAACGATAATCCAAGCTCCACCAAGAGGATTTCAGAGGCTAATTTTCTATATTTAAACCTCCCTTCCTAATGTTAATAGTACACAGCTGTATTACTGCAATTAAGGATGACTTTATTAGAAGCCCCTGCAGTCTGAGGTCCCCTCACTGTCACAGATGCATGAAGGAAAAATAAGTATTTAATATTTTCTCAATGTTTTCTCTTAATTTTGCACATTTGATAACAAGAAAAGACCAGTGGTGGAGCCTGAAAACAGCTGGGCATGAAAATGTCTGCAAATTATAAATCTTATGCAGAATCATTTTCTGAATATAAATAGTGCTGATTATTGCACAGGTGACTTCCAAGGCTAATATAATGAACTTATTTTAGCAACTTTGGAAAAGCAAAACTATAGATTAAAGGTATTATTATAGTTACAAAAAGGTAAATTCTAAAAAGAAAAACAATCAAGCTTATTACGGATTGCATTTATAATGTAGTGAAACTCTAAATTCAAATTCTTTTTTAAGGATTAATTTTCCTTTAATACTTCAAAATCACTTCCTATGTCTTATGAGCTGTTTGGCTCAATCAGCAGGGAATGGATCATATAGAATAAAAATGTTATCAGAATAGTTTGTGAAATTCACTGTTATGAGTGAATTTAACTAAATAACTAAGGTTTTTCTCAATTGAGATTAGCACTATTTTATTATTATTTTCCTCAAGAGGGAAAAACTACATGGTAAAATGGCTACTAAAGTACTTAGTAACTTCTGTTGTATCTTCTGAATAAATGTTTAAAATTATCTAACCAGATAAACAGAAATGTGCAAATTCTGGTATTTTAGAGTATAAAATAAAAAGAAATAGAAAAAGATATGTTTAGAAAATAACAAACCCGGCAGAAGATACACTTTTCTAAATAACTTTTGAGTGTAAACTTTTAAAAGTGATCTTTAAAGTGAAGTAATGCACATACACTTCTCAAAAAAAAAAAAAAAAGCATCACTGATTGACAATCAATTTCACATGCTGTTATGCTAATTGCCTAAACAGTAGGTGGAAAGTATTGGCAATTAACAGGACACACTCAATTAAGAAGGGTTCTGCAGGATGGGACCACAGACTACTTCTTAGTATCTATGCTTTCTGGCTGATGTTTTGGTTACTTTTAAATGTTGGTAGCATTTTCACAGTCGTGGCAGCATGAGGCGGACTCTATAACCCACACAAGTGACTCAGGTAGCACAACTCATCCAGTATGGCATGTGAATGGAAGCTTTGGCAGGTAGGTTGGCTGTGTCTGTCAGCGCAGCTACCTCTGCCTTTGAGCAAGAAGTAACTGGAGGAGCTCTGCCAGAGCCATTCAAAATAACTTCCAGCAGGCCAAAAATGTGCATGTGTCTGCACAAACTTTTAGAAACCGACTCCATGAGGATGGTACAGTATGAGAGCCTGACGTCCACAGATAGAGATTGTGCTTACAGCCCAACACTGTGCAGGACCCTTTTGGCATTTGCTAGAGAACATCATGATTGGCAAATTCCCCAATGGTGCCATGTGCTCTTAAAAGATCAGCAGCAGGTTCACACTAAGCTCATGACAGATGTGAAAGGGTCTCGAGAAACCGTGGAGAGCTATCTGCTGCCTGCAACATCCTTCAGCAGGACCAGTTTGGTAGTGGGTCAGTAATAGTGTAGGGTGGTATTTCTTGGAACGGCTGCACAGCACAGTAGGTGCACACCAGAGGTAGCATGACTGCCATTAGATACGGAGATGAGATCCTCATACAACTTGTGAGACCATATTCTGGTGTGGTTGGCCCAGGATTCCTCCTAATTCAGGACAATGCTAGACCTCATGGCTGAAGTCTGTCTGCAATTCCTGCAAGATGAAGGCATTGAAGCTATGGACTGGGCGGTCCATTCCCCAGACCTGAATCAGATTCAGCAAATCTGGGACATCATGTCTTGATCCATCCACCAATGTCACGTTACATTACACCATTGACTGTCCAGGAGTTGCAGATACTTTAGTCCAGGTCTAAAAGGAGATCCCTCAGGAAACCATCAGTCACCTCATCAGTGCATGCCCAGGCGTTGTAGGGAGGTCATACCGTCATGTTGAGCTACACAAAATTTGGAGCCTCATTTTGGCCCGTTTTAAGAAAATTACATCAAAGTGGAATCTTCCTATAGTGTTTCCTTTTTAATTGTGTTTTCTGTCAGCACACATTCAGCTTTGTACAGAGCAAAGTATTCAAGAAGAATGTTTCATTTACATCTAGGATGTGTTGTTTGACGGTTCCCTTTATTTAATTTTTTGCTATGTTAAGAAAGGATAAGTAAGACCAAAAATATTTACTGTTTACCGTATATTTACCTGATCTTAAATAGCTCAAGTTACTCTTAGATAGTTGAGTAACAAGAGTAGCACTCCTATCACTCAAGTAAACATAATAATACACTTACATCAATTCCTAAAAGTATGAAATTTTCCCGTAGTTACTCAAGTAAATGTGAATAAATGCAACTAGTTTTGCCACCCGACTCTTTTAAAGTAGAAACTATGTATTAAATTGATTAATCCACGTCTGTCGTCATCTTAGACTTGGAGTTAGACAGATTTTATTTGTCATTTTTACACAAGGGTAAAAACAAAAATAAAATTTGTTTGGAAACGGCTCTCTATGGCATAATGTCACTTAATCATTAATGGAAAATGCCGACCATGCACAAATTTAATGAAGTCATATTAAATCCACTGAACTTAAGTTTAGGTTTCTCATCCAGCAATGTTAGGATTAGCACTCTGGGGACGGGATAAACCAAAGGCATTAAATTAGGTTTAAGACTGCTGATCATTTCGGTATTCTTTAAAACTTCCGTAGTAAACTTTTTTGTTTGGGATCGAACTTTAAGAGCAAAAAATATGGCCGATCATGTAAACAAAGAGCCATTTTTAAACACCTCTAAAAATGGCAGTAAGGGATCAATAATGTAAAAAAAATCTTAAATGTGTGGTATGAATTAAAACTTTGAATTACCTTAAGTTTTGAGATAAAATAATTCTGTGAAAACTATTTGATTAGTCGGTTAAATAACAGTTTAATATACACTTTTGATATCATTTCTAAAACTGGCAGCACACCTCCCCTGCATTAAGGTGTGTCTCTGTTTCAAGTTATAACAGTTTAAAAGTATTTAGCAATGTGTCAGAAATTTCATTCTGAGGTTTAAACTAAACAAAGCCAATGTTAACTTTAATTGCCACTACCTTAGTTAGCGTAGAATATGTTTTTTGGACAAAAAAAATATTCAATCTACTAAACATTGTTACTTTAGACATATTTAATAAAAAATATCTAACCAAACTGGGTAAAGTAAAGCAGACACAGGGGGCATAAGATGTGATGTGATGAATCAAGTAATGAGTTAGAGAAGAGGCCTCCAAACAGCTAATAAAAATAGTGAATGAAGGTCAGCTGACATAGGAGCCCTGACAGAACCATTGGACAGTGTTTAAGAGAGTTTGATAGAGGTAGTATTTTAGGTTTGCCAAACCCGGGATGTCTTTAATGAATATGAAAAAATCACAGATTTAATTAGTGATTTAAATAAATCAGAAAAAAAGTCACATTTGATCCATTAAGAGTCTTTTTGGATGCTACCATATTTGGGTTCAGTAAGTCATTATATCTTCCCTCAGACTTGGCAAAGATTTTCACGCTGTAGCCCTTCATAAAGCAACCAGGTTTAGGAAGACTAAACAATTGATCCATTCATAGGTTTAAATCAACGATCACAGCCTTCTTTATTTCTATGATCTTTGATTTGTCACTAATATGGTTATTTTTGTCAGGGTCTTAAAGGGTACGCAGAAAAATATGCTATTACAGTTGTCTCTTAGCAGCTCTCACACCCAACATTTCCCTTCCAGACTGTTTACACTTGCCAGATTATGTGCATAATGAGGCTGCATTGTCTTAGCAAAGTGCCGCTTTAATTCTTTGAAGCTTAACAAACTGTCCCTGGCACATTTTTCTATGGGCGGCAAACTATCAAAGTCACTTTATTGAGATGAAAGAACTGGCCCAAGCAGCAATCTAAAACATTAGTTATTCCTTCTTCTCACTGACAGAAACATGCTCTCAATTTACGAGTCAGGTGTTTCCAGTGATTTCTGCCAGCCTCGTTTCTCCACATCATAAATTCCTCTTTGCTCTCTCATCCCACTGGCAGATGAGTTCTTTAGGCCGCCTTGTCAGAAAATTCAGCCCTCCTTTGCATATTGGAAGTGGTCCAGGCTGCTATTAACAGCGGCGTGCATACGACTGCATACACAGTGAAAGAAGACTGAATTTAAATAGACAGCAGTGATTGTGCCCCTAGGTGCACATTTGTACTTTTTTTTTCTTTTTTTCATACAGGTTTCCTATTGGCATTTTAATTCATTCTCTACTCTTTGCTGTTGACTCTGCAGAGCTCCCTCTTTTACTGTGTTCATTTTCTCCAAATGCCTCGCATGGAGCCATTGGCTCCCAATTTATGTAATGAAGCTTTAATAGCTGATCGCAACATCCAGTGTCATTAGCAGAAGTGTTAGTCTGATGCATAATCTGCCTTTTTTTGATAACCAGAGGTGCAAACATTTGATATGTGATCAGCGCCTGCTGTTTTAATTCGCATTCCCTCTGTTGGAGAATGAATCTTGATTTTTATTGCGTTTTTAAAATGAACCTACAGATATCATCTGACATTCATTGTTTTCATTTTATTCTATATTTTTAAACAAACTGTTCTTTTTACTATTTGGTGCAGATGATTATCACAGCGTGCTAAAATGGATACGTCATTTCTGCAGGGTTGTGGCTGCTATTACAAATTTCACAACCGGCTCCTTGTTGTGCAGCAGGAGCTGAATTTTATTACAGCATGCTTGTTTTATGCAACAGACAGAAAAGCAACATTTAAATTCCTAAAAAAAATAAATTCATCACTAAGAAAGGAGCAGATTTAGAACACAGTTATTTTAGAATATTTTTAAAGCACTGCACAGAAAGTAACCTTCTGTATCTCTGTCATCTTACATGTCTTCTGCAGTATTTATTCATTTATTGCAACATTTTTGATCCGTTTGGAGCTCCGTGATGGTGTCATTCAGTGCCGCTCAAGAACCTCCAAACAGACGACACAGAATTGAACCAAAAGTACTGTTTTCTCCTTGTTTCCTGTCACAGTTGAGACTTGACGAAGATTTCTTTTGACAGGTGCAATAAAATGACAATATAAAAGGGCCCTATTTAGCAATTCACCACATTCGGTTCATGCATGAACATGGATGAGAGTCCGACAACGATATCAGAGAGATATACTCACTCTAACGAACCACACTGCAGAAAACAACACCACTCGAAATATGTTTGCTTTTTCCATTACGCCCTCTAACACACACTGACAGATTCTGCTTATTTGCATTGACATTTATGCATTTGCAAAGATTACCAGAGACTGATTGAAGAAGACACAAAGCATGATTGAGACGGAAATACACCATCAACATAAACAAGTAAATTAGCAGGAGGAAAAACATTAAGAAATTTGTGGTCTTTTTTTTGTATTGGGTCCAGAATATTTACATAATACAATCAGCACACCCTCACAGTTGGCTTGAGAGATTCCTTTCCATGTAAGCAGCTATGCATATAATATGGGTATTGCAAGCCTAGAAGTGCTTCCCTAGATGCTTTCACAACGACCTCAGGCTGGAGTTCCTCACTGGAATCATATCAATCTTGTCACAAGGATATAAAAGAAAATCTGTCAACATCTGGAATTGGATTCTGAAATGGATCCGGGCCACAGCCGTTGTCTTTTCTTGGATCCTGTTTGATCATGTGATCACCCGGTGGGAAGGTAAGGGGTGTCGCTGTGGTAGTTGTAGTCCGGACAGACCTTCTGCACCAGCTTGTAGTCAGTGCTGTAGAAGGTAATGAAGATGCAAATGACTTTAAATGGTTTAGAGCACAACCAGGACACATGGCTCTGGGTCTGCTCCTGTGGGCAGCTCTGTGAGGGGTCATGGGCGCACAGCGAGTTCCTGGTGCCCTTCTCCACTTTTTCATACTCCACCCTGCAGTTGAACAGCTTGGTGTCCTTGGTCTCCAGGGCCGTCTGCTGCTGCTGGTGATGATGGTGGAAGTGCTGATGCTGCTGGTGGACCTGGAACTCCACTGCCTTTGTTGGAGGAACGAGCCCAACAGAAACGTTGCCCTGGCCTGTTGAATTGTGCCGGAAGTAGACACTAAAGGTGCCGTTTCCATGATCCACAATTTTACCTGTGATGAGCAGGTTCAGCTTTACAGTCTTGATGTTGGAATGAAAATCACCCCAGCCAAACATCTTCTTGAACTTCCCAGTCTTGACAATAGGCCTTCTTTTTGTCCGAGATCGAGGATCACGTGGAGTCGAAATGTTGTAAAGCCAGTTCCACTGCTCCTGTTTAGAGTAGGAGTCTGCCTCATCATAGTTCAGATCCACAGAGGTAAAGTTCTCCTTTCCATAGATGGTTTGAGACAGGAGACGACTTATGGAGACAGCCTTGTTGCTTTCAGTCCAGTAGGTTTTTACTTTGGATTTGGAGCTCTGTCTCAAGTCTGGACTTCCTGAGTTTGGAGAATCAGCACTGGTCACCTGGAAAGACAAACATGATTGGTTAAATAGAGCCTTCAGCTCGAGAACATCATTGGAATCTGTTTGCTCAACTGGAGATCAAAAGATAAATAACATAATTTTAAGTGAGCAAAGCTTGATTATCCTTGGCATCTTCCTATTGCCATTTTGAATTATAACTTTAATGAATATTGGCAGTAAAGAAATACAAAGATTTTACTGACCAATACCCATGATACATGAATAAAACATAATAAAAACACAGGAAAGAAAATGTCATTGTCATATTAAGGACATTTAAAGACAAGTTAGGCTTTAGACAAAAACTAAGCTTTCAGTTGGCAGTTTGATAATAATTGAACTTTATTGATCGCACATTGGAGACATTTACCTCTGCATTTAACCCACCCCCTTGGGAAGCAGTGGGCTGTTTAAATATAACATCCACAGGCAACTCTAAACAAATAAGTTTTTAACCTTGATTTAGAAAAAATGTAGGGTTTCAGCTCTTTTATAGTAAATTTGTTCCAGATTAGTGGAGCATATCTAAAAGGTTCTGTATCACATTTGATCTGGTTCCAGGTATGCGGCATAGACTTGAATCAAATTAGTAAAATATTTTTGTGAATGCCATTTAGTGAATTTTAGACTGAGAAGCATCTTAAAGACTACTCTCTGAGATATGGGGAGCCAGTGTAGGACTTTAGAAATGGGTTGATGTGCTCGACTTTAATGGGGACACCGGTAACAGCATTCTGGATACACGGCAGCTCTATGATCAACTTTTCAATCACTTTTCACACCACTGCAGTGACCAAAGCTAAGCTCGTGAAATAATCTTTCCAATCTTGTGACATTATTCCTTTAATTCTAGAAATGTTCTTCAGGTGATAGGTCTACTTTCTAATTCTTTATATGTGCCTTTAAATGTTCAGAACTGAGTATAGCACTATAATTACATTTTCTGCCTGATCATTGGTTTACAGCTGCTGGCTTACCATTATCGCTCTTCTTTGGTCCAAAATTATGACTTCAGTTTTGTTTGTATTCAGCTAAAGAAAATTAAGGCGCATCCATGCATCAAGTTCTTCCATGCAACTACCTAGTACTTAAATGAGTACATAGACACCTGGTGATATTGTAGTGTAACACTGTGTTTTCTGCATAGTTAGGGTGATTTTATCTAAATCGTTGTAACTGAGCTGGGCTGGCATGTTTTTTGTGGTCTCAACTGTACTTTTTAATCCCAGTTGAAAATTACCCAGATTTTTATTGACAGTACAGTGAGTCCAGGTTTCTCAATAAAAAGGTATGAATCTCAGTTTATGCTTTTCTCTATGAAGCTGTGTCAGCCCATCAGCTACTACATCTTTCCCTCAGAGTCTAAAGAACATACAGTTGGTAGCAAGTATTTAATAAACTGCCAGTTTTGCAGATTGTCCCATTGCATGTAGAAGCACATTCTTTTTAATTTTTTTAAAGTTATGTATATACATTTCAAAGCACGACATAAGTATTTTTACCCCTATCAACCAGTAATAGTGACTCTCAGAGGCCTGTTAGTTCTAGTCTAAGTGTCCTCCACTCATCACCTGTGCACCGGTTTTAACTTACAGTATTTGTGTAAAAAAGACACCCGCATTATCCAAAAAAGCCAAGACCAGAGAGCTATGCAAGGACTTCTGGGATAGAATAGTAGACCTGATGGGATGGGCTACAGGGAAATAGGCAAACGGCTTAAGGAAACAGCTGTTGGAGCAGTTGTAAGAAAATGGAAGAAGTTAAAGAAGTCAGTCAATCCAACTTAGTGTGCGGCTCTATGGTAGATCTCATCTAGTGGGGCAACAATAATCAGCAGGAAGGTGAAGGATAGACAAATTGCTACACAGCAGGACCTGATCAATGACCTGAAGAGAGTTGAGGTCACAGTCACAAAGACTGTTAGTAGCAAAGTATACCACCACATGCATGGTCCCTTTGCTCATTTCACTGCAGTGTGTTGTCTGTCCATTAGATGTCACCGAAAATGAAACACTGTACTTCTGTTATGTAGTGGAAATGAAATATGTAAAAATCACACAAATGGACTTAGGGAATTTATCGGATTAGACTCAGTTACCCACTACTGAAAACAACCTATGATAAAAAACAAGTAACTTCTACGTGGTTTGCAATTGGAATGACCTGCAAAATCTGCAGTATATCAAATACCTCTCCACCCTGCATGTGAGGTGAAATATTAAGTCTAAATGGTGGTTGGCTGGGAATGTAAAATTCATCTGATGTCTGCAACTTCCTTTATTCCAGTTCAGGATTACAGGAAAAGAGGCTCAAGCCTATCCAAGGAGTAAGAAGACAAAGGGCAAAGTCTGACCTGAACAAGCTGCCAGCCCACACGGTGTACTAGTTTTCTGATAAATAGAATGGCTAATCAATTAAGTTTTTTTTTTATGAATAATATGTTTGGTGGAGCTACAATAAAAATTTAATCAGGTTTGACATTCCCACTTATATTGGAGCAATATTCCCAAACCCAAGCAAAACTAGTTCTGAATGGTAAAACAGTGAAGGCATCAGAAGTCTTTACATATTCAGTTTGTTAGCTTTGTTAAAAGATCTCTAATGCTTATGTTTAGAATTTAGATTTTCATTATAAGAAACAATTAATTCAGATCCTTAAACTAAAGTTTCAAAGCTTTAGGATCAATTCAGCTTATTCTAAAAAATGTCTGCAAATCAAGCTGCTCCAAAAATACATGTATCTGTATTAAATAAGAGTCAAGTTAAATAAAAAAATGACAATGGATATAAGAGAGTAATTAAAAAAGAGAAGGAAAAAAAAAACTTATGTAAATTTTTCTGTAAATTACTTTCAAACTCTAGATTTAATATCACACTTTTAGCCTCCAACCAAGTAGCAGTGGATGGTGGGTGTGCTAGGTTTATTGCTGTAGTTATTTTTCTTTTCGACTGCATTACTGTAAGTCGGTCTAAAATAGTATGTAAAAGTCAAGTTTTCTTGTGAATGTTGCAAAACATTTTTGAGATTTATATAGCTGGATGTATGGAAGCAGAATCTTTAAAAAAAAATAAAAAATTTAGATAATCCCGTATTTATCTATGATCCATATTGGTGAACACCAAGAAAACAGCAGCAGCTACAGCCGTGCTCCCCCCCCACCACCACCGCCCGTCAGCTCCTGTAACATATCATTTAAAGGTATAACTACATCTCACACATGTGAAAATGTCTTAATCAAGATTAAAGGGGTGTTTCTGTTATACACTGAGATGAATGACGAGCGTCTTGCAGACGTGGTCCAACAGCGGACTATTACCTGCCGAATGTGCCCTGAATGGATGATTGATGGTTCATTCTGCCTCTCGTTTAACAATCACACAGATGAGAGCGCGAAGATTTCCCTCACACCCCACAGAGACCCGTGACAGTGATGTCCACCCGGCAGCCAGCCAGTGTGACAGTAGATCCATCTGGTCGAAGCGTTTACATTTTGTACTTTTCACCCTGCGATCGATGTGCTGGGAATAAGGTCTTCTCTCTTTGCGAAAGTTCAAAGAATGACATTGTAGCAGTGTAGGTCAGACTGTGTGCAGTGTTCTCAGAGAGTAAACTGTAGTAGGAGCTGTGATCCTCCTCCAGAAGCATGCGTTCATTTCATGCGCTTTGCTTCGGAGTGCAGCAGTTTGAAAAGATGGCCTCCAGTTGTTTTGAAGAGGCCTCGATGACAGATGTCCCGATGAAAGCAAACGGTGATTTCTGGCAATGTGATCTTTCAACCTGAATGTTTCTTCTCAGCAACCTAGTGCTGAGAGTTAAATATAAATGTGTTTAAAGATAGAAACTATTAGTCTTAGCCAAAAGTGAGAGCGAAACGTATGGAGATAAAATGAACAGGTAGATAAGTAGAAGTTTTACAGTTCAAATGTTAATTAAACACAATTTTTTTTTAGCTTCAATAGGGATGTATTCATTACAGACACAGGGAATTTGGTGAGGAGGGAGAAAAGTTTTATTTTCTTTTAATTTAAATATATATTATAATTATTTAACATATTGAAATGGTTCGATTTGAAAGGAAATTACAGCAGATAACTTTGAACAATGTGTTTATGATCTGGCAGGAAATACCAAGGTCAAATGACAGCAAAACTGCTCCCACGCCTGTTTAATTTATTTGAGACCCTTTCCGTAATCGTAAAAGAATAAACTATCTCCTAATGGACCTTTGTCTGGCAATCCAAGCTGTAAAGCTCATTTATTTCTCATGACTATATCTATTCTGAGTTGTTGAAAGACTGTAGTCTCTAATCACCAAATGAAATATCGTTTTGGTAGCTCAGTAATTACTGATGCGTCGCTGTAACTGGGTTTCTGCTCTCAGTGGAATCCTGAAACCAGATCCAAGGATATTAGTGAGCAAGTCAAAGCTGGTTTAAATGCCTGTCAGACTTATCACTGGAAGTAGGACTTGTGTTTGTGTGAATATTTTTGTAACATACAGCTCTTATCAGGAACTTCACTGGCGCACACTTTTTTAAGTAATAAAAACAATATTTTACTCTTTGTTTTGAGTAACTTAATGTTCGATATGAGTGAAAGTCTGTTTTTTTTCTTCAGAGATGATCACATTTTCCTGAGTACATCTGAAGTGTGTGTGCCCAGTCATCCTCAGACCTAATTCCCAGCTCCAGAAGCTCTGCACTGTTGTTGCCAGCGTTATGTTTGGTCCCCAAACTGTGACATGCAATTAGCTTTCATCTAAAGCACCTGACAGTCTCTGGATTAGGGAAGCACACTGACAGAGACCCCCACTTCACGGATTAGAGCCCAACCTGTAATCCAGCCTGGGGAGATTAGGCAGATCTGAGGCAGTCCTGATTTAAGCAACGTTTACATCCGCAACACCTCGACTGAATGCACCAGCACACGGCGGGCCAAGATTCCCTTATGCTCGGCTGGAGAAACACTTGAGCGAGGTACAAAGGGAGTGTGTGTCGGAGGCGTGAATGTGCCTGAAAGAGATACTCCCGAGTGGAGTGAAGAGAAACTGCAGGATGGAACAACAAAGCTGGCAGCGTAAAGGTCAACAGTCACACTTTGATAACTCTGGGCTTAACTGATATTGGTTTGTCAATACATCGTTTTTATGAATATAAGACAAGGATAAACAAGATTCCCAAGTTTATTAAAGGTGAAATTGCTATTTAATACACTTAATACACCTACACTTAATCTTCATTATTATCTTCATATGAAACTTTTTACCATTTGGCCAATGTGGTCCTAAAGTCTAGCAGCCAAGATGGTTTAATTTAAATATTTTAAACCACCAGAATGTTTATATAATATCTTAAACTTTCTTGGTACATTTATGTTGTTTGGCAAATAGTCAAAGTGGAATTCAATTAACCAAGTATTTGTATTGTTGGACTGTATTGATTATTTCTGTATAAAACTTGAGTTATAACTTTATTTTTAACCTTGCGATGAAATAGCTATAGATTTTTTTTTTACTGTAACTACAACAGACATTTCCTCTTTAAAAAGTGGCACCAAATCGCTACTAGAAACTAAATATGTAAAGATCAGGTTCTTTAATCTGTAAAATTTTATTATTAAAAACATAAAATGAAATTTATAACAGAAACTCAATCTAAAACATGTCATTAGATGAAAGCTTTATAAGTGTTAAAAATAAGACAGGCATAAATATTACCCTGAAAAAAGATTGAGTTAAAGCTCAGTTTATGTATTTATATAGCGCCAATTCACAACACATGTCATTTCTAGGCACTTTACAGTTCACCAGATCATACAGTCAATTAGCTTATTCCGTATCGAAATGCAGAGGAAAATAAATGCTAAAACATTTGCTAAGTCTGGAAAGATTGAGCTGAAGATCATTTAGGAACCAGATCAAGTTCACTTTTATTTTAAGTTTTTTTGCAACATTAAAAATATATATATTTATATCAAGGGAAATCCATCACTAAAATGGGATCTGCATCATCAAAAATCAATGTGGGTCTGATTAAGAAGGCTAAGTGATGAATCTGTCAGTTAATTTACAAAGAGAAAACACTACAGAGAAGAAAAATGTATAAATAATCTAAAACTCACACCATGAAATATCTTACAAGTATAAAAACCAATGTAGTGGGACTAAGTAAATATTAACGCCTACAACAAAGAACCAGGAAACATGTTCACATTAATTACTCGGAAAAGGAAATCCACATAGAAATGTCTTCAATGAAAGAATCTAAACACTTTTTATTATTAAGCAGCTACAGTCTTCACTTCATTAGCGCACAATATCAGCATCTATCAGCATCACTCATAAGACTGGAATCCTTCTTTTTGCTTCCTAAAATACCAGAACAAACCCTGACAAAGGTTCCCTGTCGTCCATAAACTGTTAAAAATCGCAGATGCATCATCCTGCGTCTGCATCTCATAAAATAACTACGGATAAAACTTTTTGCCAGTTTCAATGAATTAAAAGCACACTTTATTTTTTAAGCTCAAAATGTGCAGGAATAGACAAGCTATAAAAAAAAAAAAAACAATTCAAAAGTTTAACCACGTTCTAAAATCTGTCAGAATAACAAATAGAAGAACCCAGCTGCTTTAAAGCTGCAGGTAAAACATTTCTGTTTGAGTTCCTTTCATGTTTTGAGCCACTCAAACTGTTTTTCCTAAAACGCTCTCTTTTCAAATTAATATAAATCAACATTTTTTTAAGGCAAACTGACCTTTAACCACAGAATCGCTCAAATTTAGGGCTTACAATCTAAAGATGTTAAACAACTCTCCAAATAATTTTTTACAGGTTTTTCTTTTCCTACATTTCTACCTCCAGTTCATTCTGCAACCCTCCTGAAAAGCCCATTTAACTACCTGTTAATATTTTTTCTATATGTTCAGCTTGCGAAGCAGAATCCCTCAGTGAGATAACGGCAAACAGCTTCGGCATGCAGGAGTCCTTTAAGAAACGACTCTCAGATTGCCAGACGCAGCATGCAGGCAGGCTTGTTGGACAAACCTTAATACTATCTACTCTTGGCGAGGCTGTGATAAGGTGCAGGCGTCCGCTCTTTGAAACGGGAAGATAAACAACCCCCCCACCCCCTCCTCGGTTTCCCCCGGGAGCTCAGAGAAGATTCTATGGGCCGGACCCCCAAACAACCAACAAATTCCAACCGTTAATAGAACCGCCGGAGGAGCCGGGTGGCACTGCGGTGGGCTCGTACACAAAAACCTTGCGAGGAAGAAAGAAAGTGTGTGTCAGTTTTCATTTACCTGGATGTGTTGGTTGCTGTGTGTGGAGGGAAGATTTGTAGTTGTGGTTTAACAGAATGGAGAGGGAGCTCTGATTGGGAGCTGTGTATTTGGAAAATTAACAGATGCTGTCCAGGCAGAGGTTTGACAAATGGATGCAGGAGATGTGATCACTTGGTGGGGTTCAGGTGTTAGAAATCAAATCAGCTTAAAGGGTAAGGAGGTTAGAGTTTTGCTTCAGGAGGAAGCACACCTCACACCTAAAGCCTATTTTAAAATCACATTCAGGACTCTTGGATGACCTGAAAGCTGGAATGTATGGAAACCTTTATGTTTAAGATGAGGAAGTAGTTAAGGAGTGTTTTTTTTTTTAGGCTGAACTTAACTTCTGTGGTTTGGACTCCTGTCGCCAAGATGATGGATCAAATGGGGGCATTTGACACCCACTAAGAGTTTAGGTCCACATTCAGCAAGTGATATCAAAGTGTTACCTGAGGGGGGGGTCTGAGATGATGACAAATCACAAAGTGTGTCGAGACATCACAGGCAGCTGAGGAGGAGACTGAGTCATATCGCTACCGCTTTGCTTTAAGAGACCAGGGCATGATTACCCACCATGACTTCTGAGGAGGATAAATACTGTACGCGGACAGACTGCAGGATATTAGAGAGGGGCAGTTTGAGGAGAAGGAAGTAGAAAGGAAGAGAAGAGAGGGGCAAAAAAAATCCTTAGCCACTAGTTTTCCAACTTACCCAGAGGAAAAATGCATAATCATATTATTTCACACACGACTTGGTTCAAAGGCGGCCAAAATAAGTTTGTGAGGTTCCCATGGGTCTGTCAATCTGTTGAAGGAGCTGCAGGCGAAAGCTTAGGATGCAGCAAGTACGAAACAATTATGATCATCCCATTAAAGCATGGCAAAGCAATTTGGCAGCCCAGTCTGGAAAAAAAAACACACACCCCTGTCTGATGCTGGGAGATCAGCTCCCTCTTCCATGATGCTTCTTTTAAAGAAATTAGACCACCTCTAATAATTAATGTTTGTCTTCGGTATATTGTGACAGAGGGGGAAACAGATGATAGGGAATGTTGTTGTTTGTGGAATCGAGGAATTGTTTTCCTTTAAAGCATGATGGCCTCCATAAAATAAGAAAAGAAGGGAAGGGGGGGCAAATGATTAGTGCGCTTAGTCAGCTGTGAAATTGAGTTTATGGTTTTCAAGACGGTGAATTCAATTCGATAATGGGTATTAAGTTGTAGGGAATAATTAATAGTAATTGACTTCTTTCCATCACTATGCAAATTAAACACAGATAACACCACAGGAGCTTTTTAAGGCCAGTCAAGTTTGTAGGGATTAAGTTTGTTGAATTTTTTTCTTTTTTTAATGTCTAAGAGGGGAGTGGCTCCTGCTCCGCTTTGATTGCTTTGTTGACAGATTTATCAGTGGGTGAAGGGTTACCGTCTCTTCGGGGATTAAAGGAATTGGGTTGTCACAAACTGTCAAGGCATTGAGCTTGCAAGCATTCTGGTGTATTTGTCATAATGGGCTCAGGCTGTTCTCCTTCGCCCTGTCAGATATACTTTCTCCAAACCACATCTGCAAATTGGAGAAATGAAAAAGGGAACTATTGGATGGATGGATGGTGCTAAAGAAGATCCAGCGGGGAAGGTGTTTCTTAAGGAATCAGGCAATTTTCTTTCATTTTGTGGAAATATAAGTCTGCATGCAAACGTATTAGAAAGCTGTAAAAACAGGACTTTTCTGGAACTATGATCCTCCTGTGTCATTAATGTCAAAAACAACAGAACAGAAGGCTTAAATCATCACAGAAATAATCAGAAAAGATTACTTTCAGCTTTACTGAAGCTTTTTTTTTATTTCAGGAGTGCACAAATCATTTATATAAATCTAAAAATCTAGAATATAAATAACAGAAGAAGGTCAAATCAGAATGACATTTAACTCACAAGAGAGATGAGTGACAGAAGAGCAGCTGCGGCCCACAGACATGTGGTCTTCATGCCTCTCTGTGGAGCATCCCCTCTCATGTCAGCTTCCCCTGATCTTCTCATTTTTTTCCAAAACGAAAAAAAAAAAACCCTTGAAAGAATCTCCTACAGACTTAGTCGTTATCAGCTTTTAAACTTAAGGAGGAGACTCAGAGTGAGAGAGGTGGTGTGAAGGAGGGTAGGATCTTCTCAGGCTCATCCAGGAGGGGTCATCCAGGCATCTGCTGCTTTAACTGGCTCTGCAGTCAAAACAGAGGCGCTTTCACGTCTGATTGTCAGTGTGGAGGGATGTTTTATACTAGAAGGGAGAGAGTTGGGGAGGACAGAGAGAGAAATGGAGTGGAAAAGAGGGAGGGGGAACAAGGTAGGAGGCTCACATTATTGATTTTTGAGACACAACTTTTCTGTTTGCATCATCAATTGCTGACATCTAGTGGTGGTCATCTGGAAAGGCACCTGCTCATTGGATCTGTAAAAGAGAGGAAATCGTTAACTGTGCCTCCACCATAGAGACAATATGATTTTCTTAGCTTTAGTTTTCTAACTGGAAACAATAATACAGTTTTCTTTACAAATGCAAACATAAAAAAATTGGCATCCATATGTATTCTGCCCCTATACTCTGAGGCCTCTAAATAAATCCAAGGCAAGCAAAGAATTTCAAAATTCATCAAACTCGTTTAGAGGATTAACCTGTGCATTATTAGTTTCAGCTGATCAATATATGCCCCTTAGTTTATCAGAGAATAGAGAGTAGTCCAGACCTGAGTACAGCAGGGAATGTGATAAGGCTGGAAGGAGCTGTAGCTTAAAAAACAAAACAAAAAAGAATCCCCTTCAACAAAACTTTCCCTCAAAGGGGCTGAGTGTTCTTTTTAAAATACATTTAAAATGTTTTATCTTTGGAAAAATCTGCATTTACAGTACATTTAGTGATATAATGTTGATTACTCTGCCTTTTACCTCATAGAGGGATGAATGAGGCTTTCAAAATGCAATCCTGAGTTTGGATAAGACTCTAAAATCATTAGACCCAGCAGAACAGCCTGATAGCATCTTTTGTTCTCTATCCAAGGAAATGCCCTCATCTTTTATTCTCTATCTGCAGGAGTGCAGAGCATGTTATCTTTGAAACTTGATACTTTAAAAAACTTTTACTCTTGTCACTGAGACCCCCTTCCCAAATTTAATGTCAAGAGAAGTGTCACATTTTCCATTTAAATATGTGTTTGCCTTATAACCTTTTATTTTTCCTTTTGATATCTGATTCATTTACCGTTTGAAGTTCTTTTGTGTATTTATTTATTTTTTAACAGTTGATTACTCAATATACATATTTAACCACTTAATAAAAACCTCATTTGTAGGCTTCATAAAGAATAAAGCACTGAATGAAGCTGAAACTGGCTTCCTTTTTTAAGGTATAGTGTTGTTTTACTGCTTTTATTCCGTATCTGGTGTAACTTAGACCACCTCTGTTTCTTTTTTTCTTTTTTTTTTTTTGTAAATGTTCTCTCTTCTAAATAACTCTAGAATAATGTTATCAAAATATTTATTCTTTAAGGTGTAATTTTATAAACTTTACATAGTTTGTAACATCAAGAAATATTCCATACTGCATTTATTTTTAATTTTTTTTTTTCCATGCTCAATTTTTTTCTTAGTTTTGACTTTTTACAGGTATGGAAAATGTTTAAAGATATTTTTTTTTTTTTTTACAATTTTAAGAATGAGTAGTTATCCAGAAAATATATTTTTAAAAGAATAATTAGATCATAAATTTACTTTTTTCAGATAAAAATATGCACTGTATGCTTTTAGGATAGAGAGATCTGATCCATTTATTTCCAATCGAATACCGATACATAGGCTGAGCATATCAGCCGATATCTGATAGTGATTTAGTACTGCTGCTAAATTAATTAAACCATATACCTTGCTTTGTGAGTAAAGGCCTCATACTTAAATTTAACACTGATAAAAAAAGGTAACAAATTAACAGAGATACAAATCATCACTAGCTGCTGTGTGCGCTCTGCGTGTTGTGATCAGCTTTCCAATCATAACACCGAAGTCACTTAAACTCAGTTTTTCTGAAGATGTTTAGAAACCTGTCCCTGAGTCTTTAATTATTTCGGCTTCCAGTAGAGCGTTGTGATTGCTATGACTCAGATGACTGAGAATTTATACAGGTAATTTGATATATGTCTACATCAGTTTGAGTGTTACTTTCCCTCACTCAGTTCACATCCCTGCTTATCCCCCTCAGCTTATACCTACATTTGGCTGGTCTCTTACCCACTTTTGTCACTTTTTTTTTTAGATCTAAATAGTCTGGTCGGAGTTATGTGTTTACATTGGCTTTAGATCCAGTTTAAATGAAGAATCCATTCTGGCCCTATTTGGAAAAGTAACTGGATTAAACCTAAAACCCGACATCAAGCACGTGCAACAACTAGCAGTGAGTCTTTCTAGTGGCTTTGCAGGAATTTTCGGTAACAGATTGTTTAAGGTGACGTCCCACTTCATCAATCATTCAGTTGTTGACTTTGACTAGGCCATTCCAATTCTTGCTTTTTAACTTTAGCCATTCGATGGTGAACTCGCTGTTATACTTTCAATCATTTTCCTGCCCCATAACCCATGTGTCCTTGAGATTAATGTAATGGACTGATGGCTTGGCCTTCTCCTTCAGGATGTCCTGATAGAGGGCAGATCTCAGTTTAATTGGAAAGTCACCTAGCTAGTAAAAGAGCAAAGCAGCCATCATTAAGCTACAACTAGTCTTTTAACTCTTATAAAACAGTTTCTGTAAAAACTAACTGGTAGTCTATTTGCCCTATACATTTAAGTGTTTCCCAAAACTTTGTAACATATCTAGAGTCGGTCATCAGCCTGCTAAGTTTGACTAGTTTTTGCCTAACTTTTGTCAGCAAAAAAATGTTTTAAAACCCACAATTCTTTACTTTTTTTATCAACACCATTAAATGTTGAAATCTGTAATATATTTACAATGTTTTCATGAATGTCAAAAACACATGAATGACTAGAGAATAAATAAATAAATTGCTATTTCCTTTTTCTAATGGAACTGTCTAGTGGTGAGCATTTCTTTTAGAACATGCATTCGTTATTGGCTGCAGGGTAGAGGTGTAGTAATGCATTTCTCCATCCACACCCTCCTGTCTGTGCATGGTCACTGGTACTGTACCTTTCTCCAGCAGTCATTGGATCAGTGCTGCCCTGTGGAAGTTCCTATATTTTGACAGATAGTGTCTGGTATGTTTAATGCTTTTCTTTTGTAGATACAGGAGGGCTGCTTTACCTTCTTAAATTCATTATAAACATCAGTGCGTTGATCCTAAACTTTACAAAGTTTGTAGACTTATTGGCATCATTCGGTCATAGCATCTACAAGGGGTCATCAACGCCCTTTGTCTGTGTGGTTGATCTCATTTATGGACAATAAAACTTTAAATGATTTTGACTTTCTTTGACAAAATGGCTACAGCTAGTGCTAGAATCTGGGGTGTGCATGCTCTCGCACGTGTTTAATAGGCGTTCCCTCTCGGGAGTGAGTACAGGGCTGCGCATGTGCTTTTTTTTTCTTTTAAAGATGAGAGCGCAGGTCTTTACAAAAATTCACGAAAGTCCTCCACAGTACCTTAAAGCTAAAAGTGCAACAACTTAATTTTCCATCATCGTTAAAACAAAAGTGAAAAATTATAAATAAATGATAGGTCTAAGGGACCTATCATGTACGGTTTCTATGCTAGCACATATCATTTTTTCATCATACATTTAGTTGGTATTATGTCTTTACTACAGGGGCTATAACAGGTCTAGAACTACCCCTGCACCTGCTTGTTCTTTTATCTCCTTTAAAGTACCGGTAAGCCTTTTGAGACACTTTCATTTTCAAAAATGACGCAGTCACAATATGTTTATGTTGACAACCGTGTCCGCATTTATTTTCAGTAATTCTTTCCATATATGAACAACCTGTACAGAACAACCACCTCTCTTCCTCTTTTCATTCCCCTCGGGTTTTTTTCTTAGTCACAACATACAACTTGCATCATGGTTACAACAATCAGCAATATCATACACCCACTTTGCAATAATCAAACTAACGTTTTCTGTGCAATACAAAATAAATTTACACATACTTTTTTTTTTCCCAAAAAAATAAAAAAGTCATTGTTATTTACAGATTTCACGAAAAAAAGTAAACATTCTCCACACAAGTTTGCTTTTACACTGAACTCAGAGGCATATTCTTATTAACATATTGTATAGTTCATTTGTACAGGGTATCTTTTATATATTTCATCTCAATGTAGTGAGACTGTAACATTAGAGCATCTATAATGTGGGTACTACATGTGAAAGCTAGATGAACTGATTCGCCTAGATGAGGGAAAATTAGTCATTTTTTCTGCTTGTACTGTATATTATCTGCCTAATCAAATATTCAGAGCAGCTCTTTAATTATCTTTAAGGCAGAAATGATGTTTGCATGACATGAATGGCTTCAGTTTCTCTTTCAAAGCTGCTGCGAAACTTCCCTCTCTCCTCTACATGTTTTAGTTCAGGGAAACAATCAATAAATCGTTTTAGAACTGGCAGTTTTTTTTTTTAAACGCACTTACATCTGGGTAAAAATAAAGTGGAAACACCAGACGGAGTCTAAAAAGAACCCACAAAAATTTACTTTACTAAACCAAAAACTCTGCTGCAAAATAATGAAATCTATACAGATATTTACTGGTGGATCACACCTGTTTTATTGGACTGTTTTGTGTTCCCCTGTTGCTTTCGTCGTCCCTCTGCTGTGTGGTTCTGTTTGTGGTAGAGGCAGTGTTTTATGGCAATAGAAGGTAGAAGTCACATATGCATATCATGCTGCACTAATATAGTGCAATGTAGAGCCTGAAACAAAGCAAGGGTGGAGGCTGGCAGGCAGTGGTGTCCGCCAGCAAGTGATAACGGGCTGCTTCTTCATCAGCATCACATGGATCAGTTTATCCCACAAACACAGGCCTGTGTGCCTCTGAATCAAGCAGAAATAAAGGAGAAGAAATGCCTCCCTTTTGTTCAAGACTGAAAAAAAGAGATTTGAGTCAAAACCCAGTTGAGGATTGAGGGGAAAAAGGAATCCAAACCTTTTGATGGAGATTTTACTCTCCCTCCTCCTCTTCCCTGCGGTGACTTTTGGCAACATACAAACCGTCAGAGCGTCCAAAGCCTCCAGCTACTCA